GGGGGACGGGGAGCGGCGGTGGCGGCCCGGTGGCGCGACGGAGGGCGGAGACGGTGGAGGAGGCGGGGGTGAGCGGTAGGGTTGGGGTGGTGGGGTGGGGGGTATGTATAGCGGGGAGGCGGGCGACGGGGCAGGGGACGGCCGCACTCGTCGCCCCGGCTGGCTCTCGCGGCCCCACGACCCGGCTGGCGTTGGTTTTTGTTTTTTCGGGGGAGGGGAGGACGACGTGCGCCCCGGTGCCCGTGGTTGTGCGCCTGTGCGTGCGGACAACTCAGGCTCGCGGCTGGCACTCGTTGTCTTCGGTTGGGTGGTGCGCTGCTGGCCGAATGCGCCAACGTGATTTTTCTTCTCCACATTCTTCTTTTGAGAATTTTCTTCCCCGCATTTGGTACATGATTAGTCATACTTTTTTTTGGAAAGAATTGGATGGCGAACCAACATGTCGTTGGATGATCAGGAGGACGATGGTATTTTCAGCTCACCAGGGCTTAAATTCTAGACTTGACATTTGGTGCTCGCATTATTTCTGGATTTACTTGTTTCAATCTTCCAACGATGTTGTTCATTGCGAGGAGACATTCCCGTCCACTGCAAGGCAAGGGCTATTGCACGTACAACACAGTGAGGGCAACCCATTTGTACTAGGCCCATGTCATACGGAGTTGCCCCCGCTCAGCTTAGTTTTCAACTTATTTTCTTTTAGCCCATCAAGCATGCTAAGCAACCCAGCACAACTTACGTAACTAGGAAATTGAGATCTACCACTTAAAAAAGGGGAAATGTTGGAGAGCAGCAATTCGATGCACATACTCATCTGGACCAACGATGAAGGAAAAACTCAAAACAAATACTAAAAAAATTTAAATTCTTTTTACATGGTAGATAATTTGGTGCGTGAGGTGCGCTTCAAATTTCAGATCATTTGGATATCTAAATAACTCTCGGCAAAAAAAGACAATTTTGGGTTGTAAAAAAGTTTATTGCTCATGTATTGTTCTAGCCCTAATTTGTCTTTTTTGTTAAGAGCTACTCGTATGTTCAAATGGTCTGAAATTTCGGACACACCTCACGCACCAAATTATCTATAATCTAAAAAAAATAGATTTTTAAAAAGATATGAATTTTTCTTGACTGGGTGTAGATGAGTCTGGGCTCAAAAATGGATATTCAAAAATGTTAGATTTGTTCTAAAAAGCAGAAAATGTGAGATCTTCCCGAAAACAAAATTACAAAATGTTAGACGGAGATGCAACCCAGCAGCCACGCTGCATGCAGCCTGCCTGCCCATGCCCTTGCCTTATAGCATCTACAACCGAACCCCTCAAACCCGTCTCAAACGGCCGGGCAGGCCGCCCGGTCGATGTCGGTCACGAAATTTGGACCCAGACGGGTGAGGGAGTCCTGGATTGAGGGGTCCTTGGGCGTCCGGCCTGTTAGCCATGGGCCGAACTAATGGGCTGTGAAGATACGCAGACCAAGACTGCATCCATGTCCGGACGGGACTCTCCTTGACGTGGAAAGCAAGCTTGGCGACCGGATATGTAGATTCCCTTCTTTGTAATCGACCTTGTGTAACCCTAGATCCTCCCGGTGTCTATATAAACCGGAGGACTTAGTCCGGATAGGATACTCATTATCATAGCCATACAAGTTAGACCTCTAGGGTTTAGCCATTACGATCTCGAGGTAGATCCACTCTTGTAATACTCATATTCATCAATATCAATCAAGCAGGACGTAGGGTATTACCTCCATAGAGAGGGCCCGAACCTGGGTAAACATCGTGTCCCTTGTCTCCTGTTACCATCGACCTTAGACGCACAGTTCGGGACCCCCAACCCGAGATCCGCCGGTTTTAACACCGACATTGGTGCTTTCATTGAGAGTTCCACTGTGCTGTCGCCAAAAGGTTTGATGGTCCCTTCAATCGTCCGTAATGACGCTGTCCAAGGAGAAATTTTCCTCCCCGGACAGATCTTTGTGTTCGGCGGCTTCGCACAACAAGCCAATTCGTTTGGTCATCTGGCAGATCGAAAGCCACGCCCCTTACCATCAGGTCAGATTCGGAAGCTTGAACTACGTCGCGGACATCCGTGGAGACTTGATCTTCGCCGGATTCAAGACCGCGGTAGCCGCTCCCGGTCACCCCGATGATCATGACCTAAATCTGTCATCAGGCCGCATTCAGGAGATTGCTCCTGTAACCGCTCTGGCCCTAGATCCGGAGCAGACTGCGCCATCCGAGGACGGGAGGATCAACCCCACCACGGAGGCCATAGATTCCACGGTGTTGGAGCCGCACATAGACCTAACCTCTCACGACATCTTTGTCACCGGAACTCCAGACTCATCTCCGGCCGTACGTTCCGAACCACGTGAACCCGCGGACGCCGAAATTGATCATTTATCGATCTTCAAGTTCAGCGCCGCAGACATCTTCCAGCACTCGCCTTTGGGTGATGTGCTAAATCATTAAAGAACCTGTCCTTGGCGGAGGACTCATAGCCGAACTATATCCGGCTCGAACTAGGGGCTGACGGTGGAGAATTTTGCTTCCCACCCGCCGCCCACTTCATAGCCACGGTCGAGGATTTGACCGAAGAACTTGATTACGACTTCAAAGACATCGACGGTATGGACGACAATGCCGGAGAAGAAGAGGCCCAGAACCCGCCGTTCATCGAACGCTGGACGGCCACTTCCTCGTATGATGTATACATGGTGGATGCACCAAAGGAGAACAGCGGCGAGGACAAAGAAGATCCAGCTGAGGATAAACCTTCTGAAATACAGTCCAAGCGCCGGCGGCAGTGGCGCCGCTCTAAGTCACGCCGCAGTAAAGACAGCAACACCGGCACAGGAGAAGATAACACTCCAGAAGGTGCCGAAAACAACGAATACCCCGTCGATACAGCTAATGAACAAGATGAACGGGAAGGAGGGCAGGCTAGCCCCGGTAAACAGGCCACGCATGAAGACTCAGAGGACGGAAGTTATCTTCCGCTTTTCGAGGATGAGGTGAGCCTCGACACCGACGATTTCATCGTGCCTGAGGCTAATCGCCCCCGCAAGGAGCCTGAAAAAGAAGCAGCAGCAGCTTCAAGCTGACCAAGATCTGCTCAATGATAAATGGACGGATGTCCTAGCAGCCGAAGAGTACGGCCTCAAGCACCCAACCAAAAGCTACCCAACGCGCAAATTGCTACCTCAGTTTGACGAGGAGGCGTCGAACTACATACCTCCATTGTACAATGCGGCTGACCGACCACCACATGGTCGAGACAAAACAGCAACTCTCACCGAACACCAGCCAGCCCCGCCTCAGCCCACAGGCAGAGGTAAATTAGCCCATGTTCATACATATGACCTCTGGCAAAACCTGAACAATAAAGCAGGACTTACTAGATCAATCTACGGATCGCGAGGGCGTGCCTCGACACGCGATGACGGCCACCTATTCGGACGTGACAAACTTAGTCATGCGCGGGCCGAAAACCGCGGACGGACTCAATCAGAGCTACGTCGCGATACGGGCCGATATAGAGGCGCTGCACACCCTCATTGCTTCACTGCTGAGGTCCTGGATCATGAATTCCCAGAAGGGTTCAAACCCGTGAATATAGAATCGTACGATGGAACCACGGACCCTGTGGTGTGGATCGAAGACTTCATTCTCCACATTCATATGGCCCGCGGCGATGACCTCCACGCCATCAAATACCTCCCTTTAAAACTCAAGGGGTCAGCTCGGCACTAGCTCAACAGTCTGCCTGCAAATTCTATTGGCAGCTGGGAGGACATGGAAGAGGTCTTCCAAGGTACATATGTTCGACCTCCAGACGCTGATGACTTAAGCCATATAGTTCAACAGCCCGGAGAGTCCGCCAGGAAATTCTTGACTAGGTTCTTAACTAAAAAGAACCAAATCATCGATTGTCCGGATGCCGAAGCCCTAGCAGCCTTCAAACACAACATCCGTGACGAATGGCTCGCTCGCCACCTCGGGCAAGAAAAGTGATACGTCTCCAACGTATCTATAATTTTTGATTGCTCCATGCTATATTATCTACTATTTTGGACATTATTGGGCTTTATTATCCACTTTTATATTATTTTTGGGACTAACCTATTAACCGGAGGCCCAACCCAGAATTGTTGTTTTTGCCTGTTTTAGGGTTTCGAAGAAAAGGAATATCAAACGGAGTCCAAACGGAATGAAACCTTTGGGGAACTTGATTTTCTCAACGAACAAGACCCGGGAGACTTGGACCCTACGTCAAGAAAGAAAAGAGGAGGCCACGAGGTAGGGGGCGCGCCTGGCAGGCGCGCCCTCCACCCTCGTGGGCCCCTGTTGCTCCACCGACGTACTCCTTCCTCCTATATATACCTACGTACCCCCAAATGATCAGATACGGAGCCAAAACCCTAATTCCACCGCCGTAACTTTCTGTATCCATGAGATCCCATCTTGGGGCCTGTTCCAGAGCTCCGCCGAAGGGGGCATCGATC